GGAACTATCTGGAGAGAGGGAGGGAGGAAACTGCTGAGAAGGAGAAGGAGCAAGAGAAAGTAAAGCAGGGTAAGAACAAATTGTGTTTTCTCTCTTCCCAGACATGCACACACACACAAGCACACACATGTGCCCATGTACACACACACACACGAGCACATATGCACACACTTGCACATGCATACACACACGAGCACACATACACGAGCGAGCACACATATACATACACACCTGCGCGCGCACACACACACACACACCATGAAAACAGAGGGACTCTTTGAAAGGAGAAAGGAAAGCGGAGGGAGGGAGGAGGGGATACAAAGAAAGGTGGTGAGGGTGTAAATATGAACGAAGCACAACAATAGACACAAATTGTCACAAAAAAACCCCAGTAGTTGTACACTAAAAAGTTCATCATTTACCTAGACATGGTGGCACATGCCATTAATCCCAGCACTCACGAGGCAGAGACCAGCTTTGTCTACATAAATTCCAGGCCAGCCAGGGATACTCAGTTATTATTATTTCTCAAAAGAAAAATAGTATCTTTAAAAAGTTAATTTCCCAACAAAAACATCAGATCTGCCCGTCCCTCTCGCTTTAAAGACCCCCTTGGCTCCTACTCTACTTCTGCTTCTTAGTTTGGCTTCATCTTAACCTCCCAGCCTGCCCTTCAGCCTTGCAGGCCTTCGGCCGTCCTGGTAATACCCATGGCTCTTAATAGCATCAACAGCTGACAACTACCAAGCAATATTGATAAGCGACTGCATAACACTTCATATGATTTTTCTTAACCAAACACTGTAAACCATTCCATTACAATGGACATCATGACCTTAGTTTCAACACTCTGTAAACCACCAAATATTTTCAAAGCCACAGTCAATATTTTATATATATATGGAAATATATATATAATATATATATACTTTATTTTAAATATATATATATACTTTATTTTAAACAGTCCTGTAATATTGTGTTACCTCATACAAACAAGGAAATTTGATTTACTTCTGACTGTTATAATTACATTATTTCCCTGAGGCTTAGAGAAGCTGCCAAATACCTCCATAAAAGGAAGTGTCAGAACCTAAGAACTCACCTAAGGTAACTTTGTTCTTCCTGTCCCCACTGCATAGAAGAGCCATTCCCCACCTTCCTGCCTTGACTCAGATCCCTCACAGGCCCCTCCTATTCATTCCCTCAAAGGCAACTGATTAAAGTGTTAACCTTTCCTCACCGCTTCCTTGCCCCATTGAGGGAAAAAACATTGTTTAAATATCTATCATTTACATCTCCATCTTTTTAACTACCTATAATAGTACATACACGACATAAAGCCACCAAAATACCGTCTTTTTAATTCAAACTGTCCTAGGTTCAAATTTATGATTTTGTTATCTGTTTGCAGGACAGTCTTGGGCCAAAAAAAAAAAAAAAAATCATCTCTTTGCCCCTTGAGATTCTTATCCATGAAACAGAAATAATCATTCTTACCGTACTCAATCATTTAAACATCCATCCATCCTTTTATCCATATCCATATACCTGCCAGGTGCCTGCTATCCAACAGGATCCAGGCGTGTAACCATGGAAATGAAGGTACCATCTCTGCTCCCAACAGTGCTTAGAGCCTACCGGACGGTGAAATCTACAGTCCTGAGAAGTGCTACAATAAAGACCAAAGTGTGATACAGAATAGCTTATGCCCCAACTCAGACTTGGGGGTCAGATAAGGACAGGGTGATGACTAGCAGTTCAGTGAAAAGTGTCATTAAAAATATAACATAGCAAATATTCAAGACAGTTGCCACAAGCAATTTTCAACTTAATAAAACACTTCCACCCCACCCACACCCTCGTCACATGTCCCCTGTTCCTTAAGCACTTGAAAATGACTCTGTCAGGAAAGCAGATTTGTTTCTACAGAAAAGGGGGGGTTTCCCACTGGACAGCGGAGACAAGACTAACCCAAGAGGCCAAGATAATGAAAATAAAATCTGACTATCTCTTAGCATTCTGTCACAACCAAAAGGATTCCTTAACATTTATTCCTGTTTTCTGTGTTAAAGCATTTAATGACAGAACAAGGAAATCATTTTTACATTTTTCTGGGGGCTGAGCTGCAGGGAAAAAAAAAAGGGAGAGAGAGCAATTGCAGCTTTCAAAAGAGATGCTAATTGTAGCTTTTAAAATATTAGACTCCCTCTAAACACCCATCGCCCCCATCCCCCAAGAGTTTCTGGGTCTTTCTTAAAGGAACAGGGAAGATATTATCATGCAGACTTCTTTTTCTTACCTAAGAGGTGTGAAGTGGGTTGCGTGTGGGGTGGAGTGGATGTACACACGTGCGTGCATATGGAGGTCAGGGGACAACCTTGGGCTGCCCTTCCACCTTGTTTTGAGACAGTCTCTCTGCCATAGGTCACTGGGATAGCCAGGCTAGCCAGCCTGCAAGCTTCTGGAAATTCTCCTGTCTCTCCCTCCCATCTCACCACAGGACACTGAGATTACAGATGTGCACTGCAGCGTCCAGCCTTTACAGCGACTCTAGGGATTTGAACTCGGGTCCTCATGTTTACACAGGCAAGTGTTTTACTTCCCTTAAAACACTCCTGTTGAGTGACTCAGACCTGCTTGTTCCCGGGCCCTGCAGCGCCTTATCTTCAAGCAGCAAAAGGCCAGGTTCATAGAACAGCATCATGCACCATGAAAGAGGGTGGTTCTCAAGCCCCTACTTATTTCCACAGGAAGTGGGAACCTCCATGTCAGCCGGTCAGCAGAAGCAGAACTTAAGCCTCCTCCACATCACAGAAGGGCACAGACGGCTTCAGAGACAAAGGTAAAAAAGGGGAGGTCTGCAGAAGGAATCTGCTTGCTTCTCCCTTCCTCTCAGGATGGAAGGGAAGAAAGGGTAGCCACCCTGGCAATTCTAGGCATTGCCTCTGTTTTCAATGCACCAACAAAAGGAGAAGTAGGGCTAGTGACAACTCAGTGCCCACATTTTATAACCAATTACTGGAAAATCACCCTATTTCAGCCAAAAGCAGGGATGTGGAGGAGGAGAGGGTGAAAAGAAGCAATGAAGCTTGGAATGAGGCCAAAGTTCACTTATGTAAACATCACGGGGTACAGAAGAAATCTGTGTTGGGCAAAGAATCTCCCTGCCCATAGTACCCCACTTCTCCCTTCTAAACAGGGATCACAGAAGGGAAGAACTTCTTGGGAATTTCCTGATGCTTCTGGCATCAAACTTTAAATGTAGATGGCACAAGTCTTTAGAGGTGCAATCCACGAGCTGTGAGTGTAATTATGTATATAACACTTTTACTAGAAATATAAAGATCCACAGTGCGTTCCAAAAGAGAGAGAGAGAGAGAGAGAGAGAGAGAGAGAGAGGCTGATACACAAAACAATGTGTGAAAATATTGGCTGAACTCAGTTCGTTCTGTGAAGTACCGGATGCAACAGCACAATTGTGAAAGTTTAAATACACTGTTCTTTCACACCTAGCACCCAGCCCTGGACTCCTACCTCCAGCCCTCCACCCCTCTACCCCTCCGCCCCCCAGTCTCATTGATTTTCATATTTATGACACAAAGCTCCTGAATGTCTACAGAGGGATTTAGGATAGATCAGTACCACATCAAAGAGTGGAAGGTGGCTAACTGGAACCCTGGTCTCTAACAGAATCTAAAGTAATGATGAGACGCCTTCTTCTGGCCTCTGCAGGCACTACATGCACATGGCGCACACACACATAGAAAATAAGCATAAAAGTTAACATTTTTAATTAACGGTAGAATTTTTCATAGAAATATAATCAGACATGGAAATTTCTCTTGGGAAAGGAATGTGTATGGAGTCTAGTAAAAACAATTTTTGAAAAGAAGCTTGTAGTAGAGATGAGTCCAGAGAGAACACACACACACACACACACACACACACACACCATACCACACTATACCACACCACACATACTGTATCACTATTATCACTATTCCTCTCCCCACCGCCCTTGTAGGAAGCAATTTTGTCCTGATGATTGGCTGAACAAATGGCTAAAGAGCAGCAGCATGGGGAAATGCAGACAGAGCCTTCCCAGGGAGCCAGGCTTGCTCCTCCCCAAAAAGCCTATGTGTCTACCATCCTTGATATGTTGCATATGGTTCTACTTGCCCTTTTCCACCCCAAATAAAACTTGTACCCTGTAGATATCAGTGTCTTTTGACACAATCAAAATATTAAATTTGTAGTGGAGACCTGACCAACAGATTTTCACTCCGACAGGGCTAGCCTGGGAACTAAAGATCTCTGGCAAAAATCCTGCCAATTCTAACTTGTCTCTAGATGAGAGGTAGCTAATTGTAAATGTCTTCCTAAAGACTCTACCTGTGCCTACCCTAAAGCCCATATACCTACCCACCTCTTTCTGACCTTTCTCTCATTAACACCTTCATTTGCCACCTCATGTACTCCCTGCACGAGGCCTGATGCTCAGCTGTGGGTAGGTGCTGTTCCTGGAGCACTCCTCATGTTTCTTTGCCCCAAACGCTAACCGTGATCTGAGGGGAGGAGAAGCCACCATTCTCAACACAGCACCCCAAGCAAAACAAACGCTATGCATGGACTGAGCGCCTTCGCCTTGTACTACCCATTGAGAATGCTTTGAAAACTTAACTGAAACATAACCAAAGCCTACATAGTCTGTGTTCAATGGAATGAAGGCTGTCTCTCCCTCCTAAGAAAAAACTCACTTGAGCAGAAGGGACGGGGAGAAAAAGAAGGAAGGAGGGAAACCAGTTGAAACTTGGCATTTACTTGAAGAGGAGCCAGCAGAATGTAGCGTATGGACAGTTGCAGAACACAGAGGGAAGGCGTCAATCAGATGGTTTCCTTGGCACTGTTAAGTTTGGTGGCAGCCTTGGCTGGGAAGGCAAGGTAGAAAAGTTGCATTCAGGGTTCTGAGGACAGAGAGGTGGTGTCTGTGAACTTACAGGTATAGAACGGCTCAGGAATCTCGATGAGGAGGAAGAAAGCCCCCCCGAGAAGGGAGGTCTAAGGACGGTGGTGTGTTCTTCAGGCTTAGGGCTCAGGGGGCCTGGGGAGCTGTTCAGGTTGCCCCCAAGGCCACTGCTGCTGATGTTGCCATTGTTGCTTCTGGTGTACTGGTTATTGTTGAGCTCAGGGTAATTTCTGCCAGGTGGCTGGGGGCTACCATTGGGGAAGCTGGTGAATGGGCTTGCTATGAAAGCGGCCTTGGTGGGTGAGGCTGTCTTTTTGTTCTCAAAGTCTTCAGTCACAGCATTCAAGTTCCCTAGAGAACTGGCTAGCCGGGTGTTTATGGAGAAGCTGCGGGGAGAAACACAGGTGGGGAGGAAAAAAGACAGTCAACGATGTATACTCACATGTTTCCAACACAGCATCACAGAAATGCGACCAAGATGGTTCTGATCCACACAAGCTTCATCACTCTTGGTGACATCACCATCCTTGACCTTATTCATGCATCTCAAGTTCCTCGGCCAAAAGCAGCTAACCGAGACCCCCAAAACACTGGCTTAAACAGCGAATGGTCTTAAAATAGAACATTTCAGAACTGTATCTGCCAGAGGCAAAGAGTCACCACAGGGACAGTGTACGGGCTGACTTAAGTCCAAGCTTTGAATCCCAGACATCGTCTAGCATATGATCTTATCAAGCATCTCTGCTTCTCTGAGCTGGCTCCCACTGTCTGTGCACACTGGGTGAAGAACAGGACTGCTGATCGTTAGGATGCCTGACTAAATCTGCATCACATGACGCAAAATCATGAGGAGACTGTGATGGTTCAAATCTAACCATACCCTCCACAGCCTTCGCCCTGCCGGGGAGATAGGACAAGAAACCTCAGAAAAATAGTGGGTTCTTTGGGGTTTCTCCACTTCTTCCTAGCACCCTCCTCTCTTGGACCTGCAGCCAGATTCCTTGCCTACAGCAGGACCTCCTTACATCAGGCTACTGCTCTGGCAGAGGTAGAGAATTACCTTCTCGTGTTTGCTCCTGAAGACAAAGAACCTCTGTTTATCCTTTTGGCTGTTGCTGAGGGGGGGAAACACACTTTGGGGGTCTTCACAGTAGACACAGATGGTTGTGGAGAAGAACTTAATCTTTTCAGGAGAAAAAAAAAGGGACAGAGTGTCACACTAAAGTTGTGTTACCTAAAATATTCAGCAAGGAGCTATAACAAGGTAAATCAAGAAACCTCAATGCTCTAAGAGGCATGAAAAAAATAGTAAGAAAGTCCCATTCAGACCCACTCCTTCATTTCCAGCTCGAAATTGCTCTGTATGAGGCCACCAATATTTCTTGTCCTTTCATCTCATTTCTCAACAATTCATATCAAAAAAATCCCCTCTGATGAAATCTAAAACATCTCACATTTGACTATTCAAACCATTTAACATCTCTTCATTCTCCACAAAACCTAGCTAAAATCCTTGGCTTGGTTTATAAAAACCTCTAAAATCTGGCACTTGCTTCTCTTCATGGGTCCTGCTGGCCACAAGATTAAACCCACATGGTCAAGGGCATGATGACCTCAAGCAGCAGTATCCATTTTGGTTGGTTCTCAGCTGTCTGTACACTCCAGGTGAGGAGCAGTAGCCTCGGGTTCCCTGGCTAGACTGCCCTCACCCTTTTGTGCAGTTTTGGGTTCCCTGTTTCTCCTGCAGAGCCTCCTCTTCTCTCCTTACCCCTCCTCACTTCTGGACTTCCACTTCCTCCCAACCCATGCTGACCACCTGCACCTTAATGGTCCATTTGGATGTTAACTCCACGACAAGGCTTTATTGAATTCCCAAGCAGGGTCAGCAGCCTGTTTCAATGGGACACTCCCAGTAAATCACAGCTCTTATAGTGTACTACTTTAGCATTTCCTTTTTGCCTATTTCTATGGCTCACTATAAAATTCTTCGAGAGCAAAGACTTGTCCCTCATTTCTGCACCAAAGGGCTCAGCAGGTGCTTCATCATCAAGTTCCCACTGGACGCAAAGGGAAAATGGGCTCCTCTGAAGAGAGCTGGGACTCAGCCATGGCTTCACACCAAGGATCTTTTTTGTCCTAGATAAATCCTGTGATGAAATTGGACTGTGCTTTCTCTCTGCTTCAGAAAGCTTCGTTTACGTCACACATCCCACCCACCTTCCCAAGCATTTCTTATGCCATGTTTTCCCTGAAAACAAAAGTGGTAAAGGCTTCGGAGAAACCTGGGACAGTGAGAGCTACCCACTCAGCAACAGCATGGTTAGAATACAATCCTCAGGGAGAAGATGGCAGCTTCTTGGTTCAGTTTAATCAGCAATACTAGCCAATCACTTCTAGTGTTTTCTCCAGGTGGATCTGGTAATACCAGTGCCCAGGTACCACTCCAGGAGGAGCAGAGAACTTCATCAAAACTTCTTCCATAGCATTTCCTCTCGTGAATGACAGAGAGGAAAAAAAAGAGATGAACAAATGCACACACAAAAAATAAAGAGAGCTAACAAACAGGAGGAAATCAGAATCAGTCTCTGGGTCGGGAAGAGAGTTACAGAGAGCTTTGGAGTTACTAGAGAGCAGAAGGCACTGGGAGCTCAAACATCTTAGAAGTCATGACCACTAACCAGCTCACAGCCTGAGGACAGGGCAGGAAAGTTCCTTTCGACAAAATAAGCATTTTCTTTTTTTAATTAATTTTTATTTTTTTATAATAATAACAGGTTATTTACTTTGTATCCCAACTGTAGCCCCCTCCCTCATTCCCTCCCAACCCCACCCTCCCTCCCTCATCTCCTCCCTGCCCCTTTCCAAGTCCACTGCTAGGGGAGGATAGTAAGCATTTTTAAAATGTAGCTTATTTCAGAGCTGGTGAGAAGGCTCAGGGATTAAGAACACTTGCTGCTCTTGCAGAGGACCCAGGATAGGGTCTCAGCACCTACATGGCAACTCACAGCTGCCTGTAACTCCAGGTCCTGGAGATCCAATGCCTTCTTCTGACCTCAGCAGGCACCAGGCACACACATGGTGCACACACATAAATGTAGGCAAAACACTCTCACACATAAAATAAAAATAAATACATCATGTTAAAATAACATTTTAGCCAGGCATGATTTTAATCCCGGCACTTGGGAGGCAGAGGCAGGCTGATCTCTGGTATTCAAGGCCAGCCTGTTCTACCTAGTAAGTTCCAGGACAGCAAGAGCAGAGGCTATAAGCTAGGCTGGGGGTGGGGGAGACTGCTCAGTGATAGAGTGTGTGCGAGGCACTGAGTTCTATTCCAAGTATTAAAATTAATAAGTGAATAGGAAAAGCTGTGTAGTTATATTCATGTTTCATGGAAAACATGTCTGAAAGGTCATATGTATTTGCAGTGTCTAGAAATGTTGTTGTGGACAGTACCTGAAAGTCTGGGCCACTTCCCTTTGGGGTCCTTTCATATCATCTGACCTGCAAATGGAAGGCAAGAGCTCAGGTTACCACCAGGTCCCCAGGGTTAAACAAAGACCACCATAAGGCATTTGAGTCAGAGACATAAAGATATTAAGCGATCAGAAGAGAAAAGTCATCCCGGTTCGATATCAGCGTTGGTCCGCTTTACAGAATGAATCCTAACCCCAGCAGGCAGGGTTTGCTGGTTTGCTGTAAACCTTCCTAACGCTACAACCTTTTAACGCAGTTCGTTCCTCACGTTGTGGTGATTCCCAACCATAAAATTATGTCTGTTGCCACGCCGCAACTATAATTTTGCTACTGTTATGAACTGTAATGTAAATGTATGCATGCAGGATATCTGACATGTGACCCTGTAGAAAGGTCATTCGACCCACAGGGTGAGATCCACTGTCCCAAAAAAAAAAAAAAAACCCTTCCTCTCCTATAAGATAGCTCCTGTTGTCAATCCAGTCTCAACTATCACAAGGTTTCAACTGCTCTGTGGTCAGACCTCAGCTCCCAGCACTGATTATGTTGGGAAATTTTCAAACTTCAAGTCAAGATGGCATATAATTTCTCAGACACATGGAGGAATCACTTATTCAATTCTCAAATATCAGAGGTGAAGTCAGGTAGTGAGATATACCAAAATTTGGCACAGCCTCCTTGTTTTCGCATTCTGGCTTCGATACGAGTCCCTGGCACAGCTGTGAGGACCTGGCCACAGCACCAGAAACATGCTTGGGAAACTCCAAATAGACTTCAGAACAGAGAACCAGAAATAAGTGCTCAGCAGCACTTCAAGGCAGAACTCCGAGACAGAGATTTAACGACTGTTTTTATAAGCATTTAAATTGTAGTTACTCCCAACAGTAGCTAAAAAAAAAAATATATATATATATATATATATATATATATATATCAGCTAGGGATGGAAGCAAAAGAGCCATGTGTCAGAAAACATAGGTAAACTCTGTATTCGTGAAGTGACATTCTGGAGTGAAAAGGAAACGTTTCACCCACAGAGGGACGTGCTCTGTGAACTGAAAGGTTTAAAGATGAGGCTCACCGAAATGCACAGGACGGTGAGGAGCGGGGCTGCCACTGGCTTTTTAAGGCGCGTAGTTTGTCTCCCTGAGATATGTTGGTTTTCATTTCCACATCTTCATCTTCTAAATTACTCTGGAAAACAGGCATGTCCCACAGAAAGGTCACTATAAACAGTTTAGCTTTATACCGATTTCTTTTTTTTTTTTTTAATACCGATTTCTTAATAGAGCGTAGCTCATCTACAGTTATAGACGGCAGCATGGAAGTGACCTTACAGCAGATTAAGTCATTTAAAGAACACTCAGCATTTAAATATACGGGTCAAATTCTAAATCAAAGAAGCACAGGGCTGGATACGGCAATGTCTGAAATGTGTCTATGACAATGGATCAAAATCAAGGAGGCTCTCACGTGGACACACAAGGCTTTGGAAAACAGCCAGGCACAACCCTGAGCTATAAACACACCAGAAATGCTTCCAGGAGCCACCACTGCATATTCCATAACCTGTTTATACACATGCACCGTAAAGTAACTGAAGACATCTATGCAGTCACATTCTTCATTAGTTAATCCTCCAGGAAGCCCGCAAGCCTTCTCAGTAGTTAAAGAGCCAACAGCACGCCATCAGGAAAACATGTTTCCTTCTGAAGTCCCATAGTTTGAAAAATAGAAGTGGCTAGCTAGTGTTTCCCCATGATAACTCAAGAGAAAGGGTAACTCAAAAGGAGAGGTCCTGTGGAAAGATGGACCAGTTAGCTCACCATCTAACACAACCTGGAGGTATAAGAAGGAAGGTCATTGTTTCAAATGTTTTTTAAAAAGTAATTTTTGGTACATAGTAATGTAATAGTGAAACAGCAGTATAGTCTACTTAGAGGTCTGGGGAAAGGTAAAATGGGTTTTTTTTTTTTTTCTAGCATTGTATTTTCCTGTTTTAAGCTGTGTTATATAATACCTGAAAATAAACGAATTTTAAAAGATATATACAGTTAAATAAAATTAACAATCTCCATCCAGAAAGGCAAAGAGGATGGACATCAGAAGAAAGAAAAACAGGGAACAAGTTAGGAACCTGCCACAGAGGGCCTTTGAAAGGCTCTGCCCTGCAGACTATCAAAGCAGATGCTGAGACTTATGGCCAAACTTTGAGGAAATTGCAAGGAATCTTATGAAAGAAGTGGGAGTTAGTAAGACCTGGAGGGGACAGGAGCTTCACAAGGAGAGCAACAGATCCAAAAAATCTGGGTACATGGGTCTTCCCTGAGACTGATAGTCCAACCAAGTAGCATGCATGGAGATAACCCAGAACTCCTGCACAGATGCAGCCCACAACAGTTCAGTCTCCTACTGGGTTCCATAGTAATGGGAACAGGGACTGTCTCTGACATGAACTGACTGATTGGCCTCCTCTCTGATCACCTCCGCCTGACGGGGGAGCAGCCTTACCAGCCCACAGAGGAAGACAATACAGCCACTCCTGATGAGACCTAACAGACTAGGATAAGAAGGAAGGAAAAGAAGACCTCCCCTACCAGTGGACTTGGGGAGGGGCATGCATGGAGAAGGGGGAGAAAGAGAGGGATTGGGAGCGGAGGAGGGAGGGAACTACAGGGGGGATACAAAGTAAATAAAATGTAATTAATAAAAAATAAAAAAAATAACAGGATATTAGTATGTGCGGGGGGGTGGAGGGGTCTTCACTAAGTTCCAAATTTTACAAAGCCTTATTTTCTTGTTGTTGTTCTTCGGTTTTGCCTTTTGGTTTTTTGAGGCAGAGTCTCACTAGCTCAGACTAGGCTCAGGGTCATGATGCTCCTGCCTCAGCCTTCTGTGCTGAGATTACAGGCCTGGGCCTTCATGACTAAAAAAATTATTTTTACTTATGACAGATTTCAAAAACATAAAATAATACTATAACATACAGTCACACAATTAACTACATTTAATATATTGTTTTTACTTTCTTCCTTTAGTTTACTAAAGTCTCACTCGTAAGAAAGAAAGCAATGTGTATGTAGTCTCAGCTCACACTCCCTGGAGAAGAAAACAGTGTCTTTCCTTAGAAGGAGAAAGAATAGTGTTGCAGTCAGCAAATCTGGAAGGGTGGAAGCGTCTAAACCCTTTGACATTGGACACTGACCTCCAGGCTTTGGGATTTGCCCTGCCGGGTTTCAATCAAGCTTTGGTCCAGTATTTCCTCACTGCGAGCCATTCCACACTTTTGGAATAGTGATGTATATTCTGTGCCATAGTATGTGGGAAGTATACAGTTTGCTTTTTGATTTTTATGGGGGTTTGCAGTTAAGTGATCGTATCAGGTCTCAGGAGAGACTTTGGACCTTTAAACAGTGTGGGGACTGGAAGAGATGATTGGAGACATTTGAAGCTGCACTAAATGTGCTTTGTGTGGGGCTGCAAGCCTCTGGGAGCCAGGGGGTGGGATCTCATGGTCTGAATGAGGATGGCCACATAGGCTCGTATATTTGAGTACTTGGCCCCCAGGAGGTGTGGCCATGTTCACGTGGGTATCACTGGGCATGGGTTTTGACATTTCAAGAAGACAACATTTCCCAGTCACTCCCCCCCAGCCCCCGCCTCATGGCTGTTGTCTTAAGTGGAGAACCCAATCTCGAGGCTCCTCCTGATCATACTCTCTCTCTCTGAGTTGGCCCAAAGGATGATGGAGATCAATGAGAAAGAAGCCTGGCCCTAGAGAGACTGTCTCATCTTGGCCCCCTAAAGGGAATGGGTTTTGCTTTATTCCATCAGTTCTATACAGACAAGACAAAATATAACAATAAAAAAAAAATAGTGCTCATAGCTTTTAGTTAGATAAAGTACTTACTGACCAACACATTAGTAAAACAGTAACAGAATATGCTACAGGGGAAGTTGTTGAATGTGCCATTGTGAAAAGAACTTAGATAACATATAGCTCTTTATAAAAATGAAACATTATAGGGGAAAAATAGCACAGGAGTTTGAAACAGAAGTAAGTACAAACAGAAGTCAAAAGAGGTGGCTGGGTCACTAGTGCCAAAGTTCTTTTCAGTACTCAGATGTTGAACCTGTACGGTGTCAAAGTTATGGGAAGACAAAGGTATCTTCACCAAGCTACTGAGATAAGAAGGAAGATCAGGTTTCAGAGGTTGGAGGTGTGGCAGAGCTTGAGCACTTGTTTGCGATGTATGCATAGCTATACCAGCAACATTGGGATACAAGGGAAGGTGGGAGGGGGAAAGGAGGAGATGGGAGGAAAGGGGAAGGAACAAAAGAAAGAAGGCAACTTAGTTTGGGTTAGTCTGAGCTCACTGCATTGGCCTAGACATTCGAGAGCTGATCATTTCCCCATCGCCACATCCCCGCCCCTTTATTCCAGTCTTCTGTGGACTCCAGCACACCTTCTAAACTAAAACCAGAAGAGGCACCCCAAACTTTGAATCTGGGGTTTGCTACTACCCTCCCAAAAGCCTCTGGTGGCTCCTGGTGGTGGTGGGAACAGACATACCTTCTCCAACCTGAGAGTGGAAACAAGATACCAAAAAGTAAGGCCTTAGAGACAGGCTTCACTTTTTGGAATTTTCTAAGATGCACCCATCCTATGAGCACTTGATGGGCTTAATACAAAACGACAGCTCAAAGATTCTCCAAGTGCAGCACCACTTTCTTATCTACTCAGCCACCAGGTCATGTGAAGTTGGCTGAACATTAGCAGTGTCTGCATCTAATTGACATCTCTGAGCCAAGAGCACCTCCCAGTTGGTAGATTATTGCCAGAATACAGCCCTAAAATAGCTAAATGAAAGACTGAACGTATCGTGATGCTGGGAGAAGTGTCAGAGGAGTTGCTGGCAAAGGTCCTATTCTAAGTCACCTGTGTGTGTTACATTAGAGCCACACTGGGGACTCATGGAGAAGCACAATCCGAGCCAGTGTGCCTACATTCAAAGGACAACATTCTACAAACTGTGTGTGACTGTGGGCAGGAGTCCACCTGCCTCTGCCTCCATTGTCTTTCTTGCTTCCATTATGACTGTCTAAAAGGGTCCTCACTCTAGTTAGCGGCTGTGCCATATGGTATGGTAGGGTTCATGTAAGGTGCTTAAAATGGTCCCTGGCACCAAACTCCTAGTTTAGCTCAAATATCTGTACTTTAAATAAAGCTCTTCACATTCTTTCTTTTTCTTCTTCGCATGCCAGTTTCTTCTAGAGCTCCCATCCACAATGGCCCCTTAGTCCCTGAATGCCATACAGAATCCTTATGTTTGGTATTGTTCTGTGTTTGAGCACATAATGTCATCGCACCATTTGGATCAGCATCCATTTCATATGTCTCTTCTCGTTTATTCTTGGATCTGAAATGCTAAGTTTTTCTTTGTTCATTCAAGTAGCATTTACTAAGACTGTGTGGCCAAATCAAAAATGTGATGGGAGTAGTTTAAAAGACCTCAGCATGGAAGAAAAACGCAGGAGCACAGACAGGAAAAACAAGCGGCCCCCGACGTGAGTGGTGAGCTTAATTTACAGCACACAGGTTCTACACAGGCACAGCTTTGGCTCTAAAACATTATTTACAATTCTGTGTGCTGAGAATTTCACCAAAAAGTCCCAACCTTGACAGTTACTGTATTCTTTTATTTGGGTGCTCTAACTTGGTCATTACAGTGCTTCTTAATAACAAATCACAAGAAAACTGCTGTTTAGAAGGTGTGCTGTTTAGAAGACCAAAATAAAGGACCACGAGGTCAGTGATGGGGAAGTGATCAGCTGTCAAAGGCCCAGGCCAATGCAGTGAGCTCAGACAAACCCAGACTAAGTTATTTCCCTCGGTTTAAATGGAATTGAGATTCTCTGCTTTCAATCTTTTATTTTTATAAAGATAACTTTTATTTTTATTATAATTTTTAATTTTTTATATTATCACAAGTTATTTACTTTGTATCCCAGCTGTAGCCCCCTTCCTCATTCCTTCCCAATCCCACCCTCCCTCCATCATCTCCTCCCTGCCCCTTTCCAAGTCTACTGATAGGGGAGGCCCTCCTCCGGGGATGGGGGGAGCGGTAGTCAAAGAGCCAGCCATTGAGTTCATGTCAGAAATAGTCCCTGTTCCCCTTACTAAGGTACCCACTTAGATACTGAGCTACCATGGCCAGGCCCATGGTAAAGATAACTTTTAAAGAACTATAGTGTTTTTGTTTTTGGTTTTTTTTTTTTTCTTTATACACAAAAAACCATTCACGGGCTGGGCATGGTAGTCAATGCCTTTGATCCCGAGGCAGAGGCAGGTGGATCTCCATGAGTGTGAATCCACCCTGGTCTACAAAGTGAGTTCCAGGACAGCAGGGCTACACATAGAGAAACCCTGTCTTGAAAAAACAAAAAAACTATTCCAAAAAAACAACAAAAAACTATTTATGGGCCTCTCCTCTACAGACCAGTACAGAACTTGAAACACACTAAAATCCTTACAGTGCTTTCTACTTGAAATTCATAAGACGATAAACACATCACTAACTATTGAGTCCATTTAATTTCCCCTCTTTGTGCAAAGTCCCATGGCTAGTTCTGGATTAACACATCTAGGGGGAAAAAAAGTTCATAAGTGTTCCTTGTTTAAGTGGTCCAAAAGCAAGCCACTGTGGCCCACATGTAAGCCACGATGTAAGACCATCTGTTACGGGATGGATGCAAAAACACAAGCACTATTCCTACTTTGAGCACTTGGCCCCCAGCGGGTAATGCTGTTATGGGAGGATGTGAAACTTCCAGGAGGTGGGGCCTAGCTAGCAGAAGTAGGTTGCTGAGAGGGATGGGGAAGGTAGGCTGTGAGCTTTCCTATCTTTCTAGACCTAGTTTCTCGGCTTCCTGCTGATGACGACATGACGAAACAGCTACCGCATGCTCTCACTGCCTTAGAAGCACCCAGTGCCATGCCTTCCCTGCAGTGACGGATTCTGTCCCCTCAAACCATGAGCCAAAATAAGCCCTTCCTCCTTAAGGTGTTTCTTGCCAGATACGTGGGCACAGCAATGAAGTGAGTAGATAATATCCCATTGTACTCTAGCACCTGAGGGGTTTTGTTTTGTTGTTTTTTTGGTTTTCTTACTATAACAGTGAGAACAAAAAGCACTTATGAATGGCTAAAATGAAAATAACTATTGATGGGTCCTGCCAAAATTTATATAAAGTCTATATGTTGAAATATCTCCCCTTCATCTTATGAGGACAAAGAGAAGGCACTATCTATGGACCAGAAGACAGGTCCCTATCAGACAGAGACTCTGCCAAGGCTTTGACCTTGGATTTCCAGCCTCCAAAACACCTTGAAATAAATCATTATTGTTCATACCACAGAGTTTCTGGTATTTTGTTGTCTAACACTGAATAAACTAAGATGGGGATACATCTCTAAACATATGCTAATACTTCAAGCTGACATATTTTAAATTTCAGTCATACTGCATTCTTTGCTCTTCCCATGGTAAAAGGTAAATTAGTCCTAAGTTGAATGAATAGGAATGTAAAAATGAATGAGAATGAAACATTCTGCTAGATATTCATTTAAAAGAGATTACAATACAAAAGGCATTATGTTGATGAAAAGTAACTGTGTTCATCAGGCGGAGAGATAAATGTTAAGTTCATCCTTTTCAGAAGTCACAACTCACAGCCTTATTTACTTAACCGAAGGAAAAAAATGCTGACCAGAAGAAAAATTTAAAAAAAAAAAGTATTCTTGTTTTGCAATATTAGCTCATAAAAATTTAGCTCAGATACTTTCATTTGCTCTTCATAGTCCATAGTTCTTGCATCACAGAGTTAAGAAAACGTCTCTGAGCATCAACAGGACCTTGACTAAGATGCACATTTTATAAGGACAGATGACTCAAACAAGGAGACTCAGTCACTTTGTGTGTGGCTGCCCTGGGAGCCAAACACAAGATATAAAACCAGTTTCTTCAAGCAGTCTCCATCCTGTGTCCTAGAATGAAGTTCCTCCTCCCCTCACCAAGGTCTGGATGATGATGACGCGAGTGTGCGCGTGCACACGCACACATATGTATGTATGTATGTACACGTGTAGGTAGATGTCCAAAGTTCCAAAGCTCACATCAGGTGTCTTCCTCGATTACTCTCTGTTTTAATGACTGAACTAAGAGCTCTCCGACTCTGGCTAGCCAGCTTGACCCTGCAGTCGCCTCCCCAATTCTTAGATTATAGGTAGCCACACACTTGCCCAACACTTTTCCTTAGTCTCTGAGGATCTGAACTCCAGCTCTCACGTTTACAAGGCAACGCTTTATCCACTGACCTGTCTCCCAGGCCTTTCTCTCTCCTCTTTATGAATATTAAAAATAAAACCCAAATTCTTAACTTTACTTCAGGCACAATGTCACACAATGAACTAAAACCAGGGTCAAGCAAGATGGCTACTGCCTATAATCTCAGCATTCGGGTGGCTAAGGCTAGTGGATTGCCATGAGTTCCAGGTTAGCCTGGGCTACAGGCTCTTTTGTTAAAGCACTGGGGGAGAAGAAGCAACCCAAACCAAGTGTCGGATGCCCAGTTCCGAAAGTGATTCCTTTATTAAATAAATCAAGACCCCTGGGAAAAATTTTTGGAACTCTCATTTCTTGTCCACAGAAGAGAATTAGAACAAATGATACTAGCACAGTTGCTTCCAGCTCCCCAAATGCTCAGGCTCCAAATTCTTCATAAGTCATTTCTGCCTACTTCAGAGGTAGCAGGGAACAATAGAAAGGAAAAAAAAAAAAGCATGAGTTTGGGATCAGACAGACACAGATTTGAATCACGCTTTAAAATTGAAGTCAGCCCATCTCTCAAACACGATTTCCTTACTACCAGATAGAGATATTATCTAATTCACTGGGTGGTTGTGCAGATTAAATCAGCCATTACAGAATGATGATGGTTTGTTTGGAGGAGAGTCTGGGTAAAACAATATGTCCTAACTCTGCTTTCCCTCTGCACTTCAGAAATCTAAATGAACAGGAGGCTTTCAAAGGACCACTTGTGCTAGGCACAGCTTCTGCGATTGCATCATCGAACTTTTTCTTCTGGGTATCTGCTTCTGCTTTCCAAGGGAAGCTTTACTTTTCTGTTGCCTTTCTATAAATATTCCTCATACCAGAATCATTCTCTTTATAATTGTTCTCCTTAATTATGACTTTATTTCTTCCTTTTTAAGGACAACTGGTTTGTACTCAGGAGGACAATGACTCCAAGCCACAGCCGAGATACAGTGAATAAATTGGTAATAAATAATAAAATAAAAATTTTTTAAAAAAAAAAAATTAGCCTTCCCAGGAGCTCAGAGAATAGATCAGGTCACTGGACGAGTGAGATAGCTTATCAGGCAAAGATGCTTGTAACCAAGCCTGATAATGATCTCAACTTGATCCCCAGAACCAACACAGGAAAAGCTGAGAGTCAATTCTCAAAAGTTGTCCTCTGACCCCCAACACATATATGATGTAGCATGCGTGTGTGTGTGTGTGTGTGTGTGTGTGTGTGTGTGTGTGTAGACACGCACACACACACACACACCAAACAAACAAATGTTTAAAAAGAAAGAAACGATAGGTCCATGTGTTCAATAGGGAAACAAATGAGCAAATGAAGAATGCTAGTGTGAGAGAAGCAGACTCCAGGGGAAAACTCACCTCTTCAAACCTTCCCGTGTTTTGTAATTTAGATAAGTTTCCACCAATAGACATGCCATCCAAGCTAGAGATAATTTTATTTATACTTCCTTCATTGGCAGGTCTGTTTTTCAGTTTGGATCGAAAGATGTCTCCCTGGACCCATAATGAGGCTTGTTTTCTGTTAAAAAAAAAAAAAATGAGAGAAAATAAAATATTTAAAATAAATTATGATCATCTCAATGCCATGGTATCTTAACAAGAAAGATACTAATAAAATATTTAACAATTAGACTAGAAAGGTGATGGAACCAAAGTAGACCATTATGTTTCTAAATAAATTAAATATTTTAAAAATTAGTAAATGAGATTTTTAAAACGTGAAAAACTAGCTCAGAAATCTGTTCACACCAGTTTACTAATGAGTCAAGCTGTTTCTGTCTTCTATTGTGGTAGAAGTTTTTTGGACGCTAACCCTCAAGCTGTATTTTAAGCCTAGGACATATAAACTGATGATGTTAGCACACCACTGAATCACAACTGCCCTTCTATACCAGCTGTAAAAACACAGATTGAAAACAACTTTAGTATCTTTCTCCTTTATGCAAATGTTAGAGAAGTGTAGCCTAGCCTCTTGTATTTTTCTTTTTTTTTTTTTTTTATCTTCAAAGCATCCTGCCTTTGCTTTTGTATACCCCAGGCCTTTCTACTTCACATCAACATCTATCATAACCCTGATCTGATGCTTCGTTCTTACGAGCTTCAAATAGTAGTGAGAAAAATAGCAGAGTCCTTGGCAGAGAAAGAAGAGGTCAGAAGATGGCTGATGAATTCATACAGGAACATCCAAGAACTATTGCCTTATCACAAATGTTGAAAATTCAGATACATGAAACAGAGAGAAAAGATAGAATTTAAGAATAAAAGACAGAGCCGGGGGCTGGTGGTGGTACACGGTTTTCATCCTAGCACTGCCGAGGCAGAGTCAGCGAGTTTGAGGCCAGCCTGATATACAGAGCAAGTTCCAGGACAGCTACACACAGAGAAACCCTGCCTCAAAAAAGAAAATAAAATAATAAATTAATTAAATTATGACAGAATCCTTGTCCCTCGAGAAGTTTCTACTTTAATATGGGGAAGTAAACAAATGAAATCCAGCATATTAAGGCCCTATGGTCCAAACTCATATGAGTCTCAAGGCGAAGAGGCCCTGCCCTATCTAAAGGAATCAGACACCCCCTCTGGTCCCAGAGATCAAGTGTCTGTGTTTGTATGCATCTGCACGCACATGCATGTACACACCTGTCCTGTCTTTTTTCTTCTCTTCTTTTCTCTTTCATCTCCCTCTCCCTTCCTCCTCCCTTCCACCTCTTCCCTTCCCTCCTCCTCCCCCCATAAAGAAGCAAGTCTTCCATAAAACACAATGTCATGTCACAGTGAAGCAGCTGCACGCACATCCTTTTAAGTCGTGTTGGTGGCTGGCCAGCCTATACCATCCAAGTTTGTAAAGTACCCTGGATGCCAGGATTGTTTAAGGACACATTTTTCAGACCACATTCCTGTCCTTAAGTTATGCAAAGCCCTATCTGGAAAGATAAAGAGGACTCACTCAGCCAAGATTATACCCCAAAACAAGCACAAATTGAGGAAAGAGCATACAGAACAAAGGGCTGTTTAATTCTGATGAAGCCGAGGATTTAGGGAAGTACCCTTGCTCACTATGAGTCTCCGGTGCCATGCTAAGATATTTAAATGTGATGCCCCAAACACAGAGGTTGTGATGGCATTTTCAGGAATTTAAAAGAAAACAATATGAAGTGGGAACAGAGGCAGAGGGACCTAAAAGAGGCTGAAGAGAAAAGAAATCTCCAATTCAGACATGAGCTCTAAGATGAAAACTCGGATAGTGCTGACAGCCGCAGGGTGAAAACTGCAAAGTGACAACTTCCACTTGCTTGGTTTCAAAGACTCAACCTGCCCTGTCTCTGGAAAGACTTGAGCTGAACCTGAATATTAAAGATGAATAAGGTGTCAGCGCTGAAGCGAGCGTTGCTAAGCAATGATGTACGCATTTCACGCAGGTACTGTTCCACAGGCGATGTTCACGGCGTCGTGCCTTAAAAGCCTGCTCTCAAACAAAAGAAGTGAAACGTCTATTTTAAAGTATTTAAGGCTGAAACCTCAGTTCTTGTAAAGCTAATACATCGGCGGAAAGCCAGTCTTCCGATATTGTAGCACATTTTCCAAGAGCAAGAAGTGACTGAGCCCTTCTCTAACAGGAGACGAGCTCAGAAGCAACAGGAAGAGACTTTGTCTTGATTGGAATGCAGCCTTCTTGAGAAATGTAGCCAAGGTTGGGGCAAATTGGTTTTGGCCACATCCTGGCCCCAAATTAGTCAGATAGGGACTAGACTGATGTGGACTATAAGAAAATAAATAACTTGGCTTCAGTATGAGCCAATGTGCAGTTGGTTTAGATGCTTCTTTATAAATACCTGCTTCTCTTCCAACTCAGGTCAGTCTCACAGATGGTTTTGAGTGCAGGACATACAGAGGCCACTGTGCAGTTGCTTCTGTGTGGGGCTCACTTGCTCTCCTCACCACCTTACAGGAAGCTAATGCTGCATTGTGTCATTCTAACTCTTCAGCGCTATCTCCAGCCCTTCCACCCAGGACACTGCTTACCAGGATGAATCAACTTTGACCCCAATGTCCATCAAAATCCATGATTTGGTCATTCGATAAAGAAAATGAACCCATTTTCTTTTATGCTTGTATGTGGTGTGGTGTGGTGTGGTGTGGTGTGGTGTGGTGTGGTGTGGTGTGGTGTGTGTGTGTGTTTGTGTGGTGTGCATGAACATGTTCGTGTGTGTGCGTGTGTGTGCACGCCGAGGCCTGAAATTGTGGTCCGATGTCTTCTTCAATCACTCTCCACCATCCATGCTCAGATTGAGTGTAGGTGAGGATGAACCTGAACTTCTGATCCTCCTGCCTCCACTTCCCAGTGCCGGGATCCCAGGTATGTGCCACCACAACCAGTATGGACAGTTCAGCTGAGGTTCCCAAGGCTTGTTAGCTGGCACTCTGACATAACACAACTCTAAGCCTCACCCCTCGCCATTTTCTTCTTCTGTGGCAGGTTGTGGAGTACGTGTGTGGCCTGAAGGTGTGGCTTTGTTGGCAGACAAGTGTCGCTGGAGGTGAGCTTTGAGGCTTTCAAAAGCCCAAGTCAGGCCCAGTGGCTCTCTCTTTCCGCTGCCTGCAAATCTCAATATAGAACTCCCAGCTATTTCTTCAGAGCCATGTCTGCCTCATGCTGCCCTTCTCCCTGTCATGACAATAATGGACTAACCCTCTGGAACAGTAAGCAAGCACCAATTAAATGCTTTCTCTCATAGAGTTGCCTTGGTCATGGCCTTTCTTCACAGCAATAGAACACTGACTAATGGTAGATCAGAGTAAAAATGAGCTGAAGCCCCTTGTTAAGTGAATATGGGGTAAGGCCCAGAATCATGGCACACCAATGAATCGGTGAACAGTGATAGAAATGCAGACTTTCAAGTACCACCCCAGATCTGCTCAATCAGGATGAGTCTTTAACAAATGACTGGGGAAGTCTGGGGTGAAGAGAAGCACGGAGACCAGGCTTGCAACTAACTGAAAATGCAAGAAAGTACCTAATGACAGCTTACAGCTGATATCTATGGCAGTATAGTAGGATGGCGCATTTGGTAATCCACAGATGTAAGACTGAAGAGGTTGGGAGTAGGGAGGCTGGAGAGATGACTCAGCAGTCTTAACTGTGTTCTTAAACACTGGCTGCTCTTGGAGAAGACCCAGGATCAGTTTCCAGCACCTACATCAGGTAGCTCACGACCACCTGTAACTCCAATACCAAGGGATCTGATACCTTAGCCTGGTCTCCACAGGAGCCTACATGCATAGGGTGCACACACAGAGAAACAAGAACACAAAGGATTTCAAACACAAAATGTTTACTTTGTAAAGACAATTCAAAATAGAGCCCCCTGAAGGGCCTAGGTTTTCAGCACAATGTGGGTTCTCTAGAAGTTTGAGCAGAGTGGGATATGGGTAATACACAGAAGTCTAACGAACACAGCCTACCTCTACATGCCTACAGGCTGTCTTTGAGAAGCAGGCTTCAGAGTGGGCTAATAACAACAGAGATATCTGTGTATCATCTTAAGAAAAACATTTTGGGTTCATGGTGATATTTATAGCTTAAGAATGGTATTTTTAGTTCTAAGTTTAAGAAAAACACTCTATGGGTATTTTGCAAACAGCTTTATTTATATCCAAGCAAAGCCTTTAACTAGAAAAGCACCGGGCTGTATCAAAGGAGAAGTTGGGGACTGCTGATCCATCAGTTGATCAGCAATTCAGAGAAGTGCCATCAAACATCACTTCACATGGTGACACAGAAGAGGACGTGCCTAAGACACATCTATCTAACACCTGGACATAGGCCTTTTTTTTTTCCTCAAGGAAATTAGGATATGACTAACCAGCTTTTCTACAGACAGATTTAGGACTGGTACAGCTTAAAAGGCTCTGATTGGCTTTTCAGTTCGGAAAGAAGGAATGCATGCCTGTTCTATCATTTGTGGCAGATGGAGACGCTGTAGAACAGTTTTCACCCCCATTTCTCTCCTAATGACCCTGTTAATTATTCACGATTTTGCGTCATCGCTGGCGTCATACTCTTTATCCTTCACAGCACTGGTCGGTCTTCAGGGCCTATTTTTTTCCCCTTGAAATGTTCTAGGAATGCATCTCTAACTCTCCAGCCCATATCTAGCCTCTTAGTGAGCCTGTCTCCCTGACAGATTGCATAGCCTTCTTTTCAGCTTCTCTGCCTCTGCCCCCCCCATCCATCTGATTCGTCTAGTGCGGCCTGCAGCCCAGGCTTCTGAGCGATACGGTATCACAGGACTCACCCACGTCAAATGCTCCAAATTCAAAAGTAGGACAACTACAAGAAGTTCAGAACAACCTTAGTTGTCACTGAAATCCGTGCTCCTTACTGTCACTACTTCCTCATTTCACGCTACCTTCTGCAGACAACCTCGGACACAGTGGTTCAAAAGAACACAAAAGTTGGAGTTTGAGCATCTGATCGCAGTTTCACTGAGCTGAGACCAAAGTATAGGCAGGACTTGT